AGAATTTGCAGCTATGTGTGCACAGACACATGCATACACAGCATTAAAAATAAGAAATAAATCTTAAAAATGTTTTCCTAGGAATATATGTTAGAAGCCATGAAGAGTTTGAGGACAGGGGAGGTGATTGGTCTACTCACTTTATTTTGTGGAGGTCTGAAACACTGAAAGGGTTAAGTGCCCTCATAATTTATCTAAAAAAAAAAAAGATGTGTAATTATAAAAAAAAAAAAAAAGAGTAGACGGTGATGGACAGGGTGGGAATGGGAAAACCTTCTGGCATAGCTAAAGCCAAGGGGCACTGAACACAAATGTAATCAGTTTGACATTCGCATGTTTCCCCGTTCTTCAGCATATCTTTTAGATTTTTCAGCAGTCTATTTTAAAAGCAAAGTATTAAATTTGATGGCAACAGCTCAGGCAGTAAAATGCCTACTGTGAAAATGTAAGGAGCTAAAGTTGATCCTCAGCATGCACGTGAAGAAAAGGTGGAATGGCATAAACCTGTGAGACGGCAGAGAGAGATGGGTCCCTGGGGCATGGTGGCCTGTCCCCCAAGCCTAATCAGCGAGCTCCAGGTTTCAGTGAGAGAGCCTGGCACAAACACTGAGGCCTGGCATAGTGACACATCCTTTTAGTCCTAGAACGTGGGAGACAAAGACAGGTAAATCTCTATGAGCTTAGGTCCAGCCTGGTCTACATAGTGAGTTCCAGGCCAGCCAAGGCTACACAGTGAGACACTGTCTCAAAAAAACCAAAACAACAAAAACAGTAATAACAACAGTATAAGGTGGACCTCTGGCCCCCACATCTGTGTATGCATATGTATGTATGTATGTATGTGTGTGAACCTGCATAAATGTACCTGCACACACATGAGTGTACACACCTACACACCTACACACAAAAATATTAAAATTCGAAGCCAAATTAATCAATGTTTCTCTTAGATGGCTTATGCTTTCTGAATCCTAAGAAATCTAACCTGAGATCACTGATATTCATTCACTTTTAACGTGGATACACATGACTTCTGGGAGAGTCCTCAAGCTTATCTCAGTCTCCTTTGTACATTTGAGCTCAGTGACTACAAACGCCTCTCACGTACTAAGTACACACCGATGTTTCTGAATGAACGTTCAGCGTGCACCTGTTTGGATTTGAATCACATCCACAAGCAGTCGCATAATTGAAGCCTTAGTCCCTAGTGCAGCTGCGCTCTGAAAGGAGGCCTTTGGGCTGTGGGCCATGAGGGCTCTGACTTCATGAATGAACCAATCCATTTATGGGTTTATAGTGTGTTAGTTTCCTGTTTTGTTTTTAAGTCACTATAACAAACACCGGAAAGAAATCATCTTAAAAGGTTCCCATCTGTTGCCTCACATGTGTGGTTGTCTGGCTCTCTGCTTCTGAGCTGAGATGGGGCAGAGCATCATGGTGGAAAGTGATGGAGGAGCAGATTGCTCACTTCATGGTGGCGGGAAGCAGAGGGTGGGGACAAGGGACAAGACACTCCAAAGCATTCCTCTGGGGACTGACTTCCAGCTAATCTTCACTTCCTCATATTGCTGTCAAATATCAAGGGATTACCCTTCAGGATCCAATTACCTCTCAGTTATTAAGTCTGCCAGCTGGGAGCCAGGCTTCCAGCACATGAGTCTTTGATGAGACGTTTCATATCAAAACCACAGAACAGAACATCTGGGTCTCAAGCCCTTTCCAGCCAGCATGTGGCAACTTCACTTTGCCACATGCTCTGGACATTATGTCCTGCCTTGTGACAGGCCCACAGCAACGGGGCCAAGTGACCATAGACCAAAGCCATGGTCCAATTAAATCTTTCTGATTTTAAGTTGATTTTCTTAGGAATTTCCGTCACTGCAATGAAACGCTAGTGTACAGTATCTCCTTCATTGTCCTGTGTCTGGATTTTCTCCTACAAGCCAGGCAGGCTCATGCACAGAGCTCTCTACAGACCAAGACTTCTCTCTTCTCTGTTCCCATGCTCCGTAGAGTCTGTGAGATTACAATTTGCCATGGTATTTGAGCGGCTAATTGTGACAACTCGTGGGACTTCCATAGATGATGATGGCATTTGTTAAGAATTGGCCGGCCCCCACTCCGAATGCTTCACATCCCTTAACTTAATCCTCGAATCCCTGAGAAAAGATGACAGCTCACTTGGAGCAATCAGTCAGCTCCAGGGCCATGTGAATCCATAGTCATTGTTCTCACTGTGATAAACTGCCGCAGCTACGACTGAACTTGTAGACCAAGGGCACATCTCACGAAATAATACCGCACTGAATGCTTTCTTTCTTGCATCGAGTGCTTCTCTAGTCTCAGCTCAGATTCCTGACTCTAAGGCCTTATAATTGGGGCCTTAGGACAGAATTACTCCAAGGAAGCCTCTTGGCCACCTGGTCGGGGAGCAATCTGTCCCTCTCGGCACATGTAAGGCTACAGGGCAGGGCCCTGTAGTTTGTGGACGGCAGAAGGGCACATAGATAAGGGGATAAACTAACATCCAGCCCACTTTGTTTCCAGGAGCCTTGAGGCCGTGTCTCCCACGATGAAGGAGCAGCCTTGCTTCAGTTTCGATGAAGGCACCATATATGGTCGCAAAGGTCCTCTCCGAGCCTCGCTCCCATCTCTAGGAGAATTACATGCAGTATGATTTAGGCAAGCCAATCATCACATTCTGTCCCCTTGGCCCTAGTGGCTGGTTGGAGCCCTGAGTCCATAGCTCACACCAGGCTATTTTGGGCCAGTCAAGCTTCATTTGGAAGCTTTTGTGTGTGGTCTGTGGACCTTTTTCTGGGTTGGTGAAAGCTGGAGTCGTTACATCTATCTTATTAGATGAAGCCGAATAATGAGGCTAATTCCCAGCAAAACAGCCATAAAATGAAGAGAGAAAACCCCATCCCAGGACTACCTTTAGCCATTGGTCCAATTATACGTCAATCTAACTTTTTTTATGAATTGTTACATATCATAAATCAATAAATTCTCATTTTTATTTGGGAAAGTCTGGCTATCAGTTGTAATGGATAAGAAATACACGATGCCCTGCACCCAGAGGCATCCCCCTGCCTCTGCTCCTGATCAGTTTTGCCCTTCCCCTACAGCCTTTGTTCCCTCTTCATGACTGTTGATTTCATTTGGTTTATTTTTCTGTATTCTTCCACCCACCCCCCACCCGCCCCAGGCCTTGCTGAAAGACACAATCCATGATGGCAAAGATGATCATCCACTTTGATTATCAATGGCCTCCCAGACTCCAAGCATTGGCTCTTGGCACCCAGCATGGACTCCTGGAGATTTGTGGAATGCCACGTTCAGGTGAATTCCTAAGGATTACTGAAACTTTGTAGGCATAAGAGAAGGTCAACACAGCTCGAGAGTTAACTGTGGGCCAGCCTCCCTTCTAAGAAGATGGGGGAGCCATTTGTCCATATGGAAGGGTGCCCACCATGTGCCCGTGAGGGTGTGCTGGTTCCCAGTGTTGCAGCAGTTTCAGGGAGGGCGCTTTGTCATCCGCAAAGACTGTCCCCAAATGGCAGTGATCCCCACACAGAACTACTTCAAACCCATTTTAGAGTTTTCCGAGTGTTTATGAAATATACTTTTATCAGTTACTGTCTGGATTTTTATTTTCTCTCTCCTTTGCAGTCGTGGGGACGTCAATGAATGAGGAGGGAAGGTGGGCCCGGGTTCTTTTCTTTCTCCTGCATCTTATTCCATAAACAACATGGGCTTCTCTCTCCCGGGGGGATCTTCTCCCTGTGACTTATGTTCCAATCAATCCTCACTGCAGCGCTGCGGGGTCTGGTGCTTGGGTTCTGCGTGGCTCCCATCGGCTGCACCCTCAATCTATTGATCGTCTCTACCCAGGAATCTGATGCTTTTACTTTCTGGACAGTGATCTGTCCAGATCCCTCTTTAGAGTGGGTGGCTGCCGTTTCAGTGAAAAATGACCCTTCTGTACCTGCCTGTCACCTCCTCTGAAATCTCACTGTTACGATTTATTTAGGGGTTGACAGGCCCCTTTAGAGTAATGCTTTCCTCTCCGACATCAAAACAAAGGGTTCCATGCGTTACCCCTTCCCTCGATAACCATTTCCTTCAGTGTTCCTTCAGCCAGCCCTCGGATGGCTCTGGGGGCAAAGGGGCATTCTTAGAACAGGGCGGCACACTGTGTTCACTGCTTGGCCATGTCACAAAAATCAAGTATGTGGCCTGGCCGTGCAGTCAGGTTAGGTGGACACTTTCCTTCTAATGGACATGGTCAGGAGCACCACACTTCTCAGCAAGTCCTATGTTCTTCTCCTACTGCCATGCAGACTCATGACCTAGGGTGTGGGGTGCATCTCTTTGATGGTTCGATTACCTCACTAGTGGAGCAAACAAGCTCTAAGGAATCTCAAACTCTGAGCGCAGAGAAGTGAGCAAGGCCACACACAGAGCTTGATAGTGGCAGAGAAGAGGTGAGTCCCAGGGCCTCCGGGTCAGTCCACTGCACCATTTGTGACTGTCACCTCCCACCCTAGGTCCAGAAGAACTCAGAATTAAGCACCACTCTGCTCAATCAACTTTGCTCTGAGCCTGGCAGGTAACACCATTTACCTCTCTGCTCAAACCAAGTGCTGCTGGAGACCTAGGGGGCAGGAACGAGGACAAGGGAGATGGACAAACATTCGGGAGTGTTTCTGGGTCTTACTTCACCTTTCCATTGCCATCAGTGCCACCCTGGCACTCAGCAGGCTCCTACACATACATACCACGATGTAATGAAAGAATGTATGGTCCACTGCAGACTGATGAACATTCATTCCATGGCAAGAGGGTGAACAGCAGGGAAGGAGTGGGGCAGGTATGGGCAACAGACAGAGGTCGGAGGTTGCAGGGGCTGAGGGGACAGAAGTTCACTCTTGGCTATTTGTTTCTTGGCTCCAAAACTTTACTGGTATGACAAAGACCCAGTGGTCAGGAAGCACATTTCTACTTGTTTGAGACAGCCCAAGGGAAGAGGAATATTAGAAAGGAACACTGAGAGCAGAAGCCACTGTCCCACCATGCTAAGATCACTAAAATTGGAAGCCATTGTCCCACCATGATAAAATCTATGGGACCGGAAGCCACTGTCCCACCATGCTAAGATCTCTGAGACCGGAAGTCACTGTCCCACCATGCTAAGATCTCTGAGACCAGAAGCCAGTATCCCACCATGCTAAGCCCTCTCAGCCTGACAGTCAGTGCACTGGAGCCTCATCAGTGTTCGCTGCTGCGTTTACTCTCAGGGATAATGATTATATCAGCCACCAGGTGAGAGGGAGGAAGAAGGAGCTTGCGCCAGGCTGGCAGATGCTTGATTCCTGCTCTATGGCTTGTACTTGCATAGGAAGTGCTGTCGCTCGTCACATCTGTTTTTGTTCCAATTTAAAAATTCTGTAAGAAAGTAAACAGACACTTAAACCAAGCTAATTCAGTACTGAATTTACCAGAATTATCTGTGTTTTTCTTGGAATCCCAGACAAGGGCCAGCTGCGGTTATTTCAGGAGCCAACGTGGGTAGGATATGGTATTGTTTAGTCCAAACGTCCAGCAATTGCTAGCTGCCTAGCTGTCTAGATGTTGCTCTGTGGGTAATTTGTAGATATTCTTGATACCCAGATCAAAAGATATTGAATAAAGCGGGCCAGATGAAGGGCTTCCTGGAGCAGAAGATTTTTCCCTTTAATTGCTTTGGACTCAGTCTTTCCACATCAACTCTTGCAGTAATTTCCAGCTCGGCCCCCGACCCAACAAATCTCCACTTCCCATTACTGGTTCTCTGTGGATTTCTGACTAAACGCAAACACCCATTTTCTCAAATCATGGCAGATAGTACAAGCTCTGCTTCAGCACTCAGGAGGAAGCAGCATCTGACACAGACCCAGGGGAGGCTCTATTTGTGTGTGGTGCTTGGTTTATTTGCTGTTGTTGTTTATTAAGATTTATTTTTTGTTTTTATTTATGTGTGTGTGTGTGTGTGTGTGTGTGTGTGTGTGTGTGTGTGTGTGTGTGTGTGACACAAAGGGCATCAGGTCCCCTGGAGCTGGAGTTACAAGAGGTTGTGAACTGCCCAACATGAGTGCTGGAAACCGAACTCCCACTCTCTGTAAGAGCAGCAGTTGCTCATAACTGCTGAACTCACTAGTTTTATGTCAACATGACCCATGCTAGAGTCATCAGAGAAGAGGGACCCTCAATTGAGAAAATGTCTCCATGAAATCAGGCTGTAGGCAAGTCTACAGGACATTTTCTTAATTAGGGATTCACGGGGAAGGGCCCAGCCCATTGTGGGTGGGGCCCATCCCTGGGCTGGTAGTCCTGGCTTCTGAAGAGGACAGGTTGAGCAAGTTATGATGCGTAAGCCAGTAAACAGCACCCCTCCATGGCCTCTGCATCAATTTCTACCTCCAGGTTTTTGCCCTGCTTGAGTTCCTGTCCTGACTTCCTTTGATGATGAACTGGGATATGGAAGCATAAGCTGAATAAACCCTTCCTTCCCCAACTTGCTATTGGTCATGGTGTTTCATCATAGCAGTAGAAACCCTAACTAAGACAACTGCTGAGCCATCCCTCCATCTCATTCTTTGTGTTTGACATGGTTGCATCAAGGACCTGGGGGTGGCTTTCCTAGACTCCAAAGGCAAGCTCTGAGATGCTCCAAGTTTCTGAGAAGCTCCTTCAAAGACCTACAAGCCATTGTAACCAGTCATGTCCCGACAATGGGTTACTCACTTAGAAAGAAGAACTGAGCTAGAAACCGGGGACCTTTGGGAGACTGAAATATATATTTGAAGGAGATGTCCAAATATTTCTGTCCTCAAAATGGAATTCCTCAGTCCTTGTCATCCTGGAGAGGTTGTGGCAGAATGCTGAGTTTCCCCCTAGCCGGTGTCTGCTTGGGTCTTGGCCTGCAGGTCTGAGCCTGTCACCTGCTCTTATTCCCCATACTCCAGAGACACAAAGGATAGTCGTGCATATGTCCTAATTCAAGGGACCTGTAGTTGGAGCACCAGAACATGATGAAATGGGGACCATAGGCTTGTTGAGTAATTCCTAGCATGGAACCAAAAGCATGTACACAAGCCTGCTAGCCTGGAACCTGCCCTGCGGAACTCAGGTTGGCCGGCTGGACACGTGCCGTGTAGGGTCCTTTGGTACATCCACTGAGCCCAGAGAAGAGTTGGAAGAACAGCTTCAGGTGACCACGAGTGGCTTACCCATGGGTGGCCACCTAGACTGGTACCCATTCTAATCTCCTCCTGCCTGCCTCTCTCCTACAACACCAAAGGGGGAAGTGCTGGGAATGGGGGGGGCAGGCAGTGTGGGCACACCAAACCCAGGCAGTGAGCTCAGCCTGTATATGAAGGCACTGTGTAAACATTAAGATGACAAGGATTCTGCCTTCTCCCTCCCATAAGGAGACCTCTGAGGCACAGAGAAGGAAGAAGTCTGCACCAGGACAGGCAGTTCAGTAAGATGGAGATGCCGTATTTCTATAAGGTCATGCAGAACACAGAGCTCCTGACCTTGACCCCAAGCCAGACTGAACATAGCTTGTCTTTTTTCCTTCTTTCTTTTTCCTTGAAGCACTGAAGATTGAACCCAGGCCCTCAAAGACACTCGACAATTGCTCTACTGATGAGCTATAACCTCCGCTCTCTTCTCGCCTTTTTTTTTTTTATTATTATTATTATAATGCAGAGTCTCACTAAAATGCCCGGGCTAGCCTTAAACTCACTCGGTAGTCCAGTCTGGCCTTGAACTTGATGAGGCTCCTGCCTCAACCTTCCAAGGACTACTGGGATTACAGGCCTGTGCTAGTTTGCAGTCCCCAATGAAATAGTGGGTCACAAAACAGATGATGATACCGAGTGGAGAGCCCCAAGGGAATGGCAAAGGGACACGAGGGACAAAATACCCGGAAGTCCTTCCTAAATAGCAAGGAAACGGGAACGGGTCCTGTCACAGAGAGCAGAGTTCATGCATGACTGTGCATCGCTAAAAATTCATTCTACGGATACAAGACAGCACTGGAGTACGGGCGGGGGTGTCTCATGAAGATTCTCTCTTTAAGCTCTACTCTTCTCCAGCTTTTCACTAGCCCTGTACCTTTCTCTGGGTTTTTAATTAACTACCTAATTGGATGTTCTACCCCCCACCCTCCCACATGTGTGGCCGACCTGTGAGCTTCCAGAGAATCTCCGCCTCCCATCTTCCTGTGGAAGTGCCGAGGTCACACACGCACACTGCTTTGTCCAGCCTCATGTGGGTTCTGGAGATTCAGTCTCAGGGCTTCGCGCCTGAGCAGCAAGCATACTGCCCCTGAGCCACCTCCCCGACCCCCTGCTTTGGGTTTCCTTGTGTCTGAAGCCTGTGTTCTGATTGCCGGAAGCCAAAGTGGAGCGAAGGGGAAGCGTGGGATAAAAAGACTCAGCCTCCCACTTCCCGTAGTTGTGCCACAGGGTGGGATTCTGCTGACAGGACAGGACAGGACTTCGTCCAGCGAGAAGCCCAGAACCATGGGGATGCCAAGGGCCTAGGGAAACATCTGGTCAACCGCTTCCCCAAAGCTGGTCTGGCTAAAAGGCAGATATGGAAGGCCTCATGCCATAGGTCTGAGGGTCCCTGGAAGGTGTTGTGTTGGGATGTTCTTCCGTTATCTTTGTGACTCTGAGTCTCTTTTCTAACATAGTTTCTACTACAATGTAAACAAAATGTCCACCTTTTCCCTGGTTGACTCTGGTGGTGGTCTTCTCACGGCCTCCTGAGGCAGCTCACTGTGGGTTTGCACAGTGCTAACTGTTCACAGCCGCCTTGTTTTAGTAGCTCGAACCTATGGCTTTGCCTGTGCTCTGGCTAACTTGCCTTTCAGAGCAGCAGTGTGGGCTCTGCTGGCCTGAGAGATTCCCCTCTCCAGCTGTTTGCCTCTGATGCCTCTGTCACAGTCTGGCGCCTCATGCCCCCTTCCATTGCTGTTAAAAAGTTCCTTCCATTGATGTGGCAAGGACTGCTGAATGGGTGCAGATGGCTGAAGGTTCATAGACGGTGTGTCAAGGCCGCCATCCTGTAAGCAGTGTTGCTGAGCGAAAGCGTCGTTGGGAAGGAGGACAAGGATGCCCCTTTTGCTCTCAATTGGTTAAAGGACAGATCTGCAGCTTGGAGGGAGGGAAGGGGTACAGGGAACTTACTATTCTTGGGGTTCAGCTCAGCACAGTGCCTGGCTTCACTCTTCGTCGTGGGATTCCAGGCATCGTACAGCTGTGTAGACCCATCAATCCATTGCCATAGCTGATTCTGCAATGACAGGGAATGTGCAACTCAGCCAGACCACCCTCCCACAGCCACACCAGGCCCTCAATCCAGTGAAATGGGCTTTCAGGGGGCAAAGCATGTAATGTCTGAAGAATCAAAATTAGGAAAGTCACCCCACTCAGTGACAGAGGGAAACATCACTAATGTTTTAGCACATTTGCTTCAGATGGAACCACGATTATCAATGTACCAAAAATACTGTACTCTTTAGAATAGGTATGCTCAAGTCTTTCATGTTGTTTTCTTTTTTTTTCTTTTTTTTTTTTTTTTTTTGGTTTTTCGAGACAGGGTTTCTCTGTTAAACCCTTATTTAACACAAGGATGTACCATAGTCTACCTTAATAATCTTCTATTGACTACTGAGTATTTTGTTCCCAATTACCAATTACTGTGAAAGACACTGCTGTGACTAATTTTGTTGAAAATCATTCTGTATTCTTAAAATTATCTCCTTTAATATATTCCAGAATCAGAATTATGGGTCAAACAGTGTGACTGTTTTGAGGTTATCAGTATCCATTAACAAAGTACGTTCCAAAAACTGCCCACTTGTACAAATTTACATGCTCACTGACTAGGTACAAGGACCATTTTTCTACATCCTCAAGATATTATTCATGATACAAGGAAAAATGTTGATAATCTAGGTCAAATGATATCATTTTAGTTTGCATTTCCTTGATTATTAGCGATAGAGTACAGTTTTAAAAGAACCGTTTGTCGTTTGTGTCTCCTAGTCACACATGTAAAAAAAAATCGAAGTTAAAAGTGTCTCACAGAAATAGATGTAAATATATAGCATGTCTCTGAAAGCAGAGCTTTAATTGGCAACAAAGTAAATACATAAAAAAATGAGACAGTCGGCCAGATGTAGTTGGCACAGGCCTTTAATCCTATCACTGGGGAGGCAGAGGCAGGAAGATCTCTGTGAATTCGAGGCCAGCCCGGTTCCTGTAGGGAGTTCCAGGACAGCCAAAGCTGTGACACTCTTGTCTCAAAAAATGGAGGAGCTAGAGAGATGGCTCAGCTGTTAAAAGTATTTGTTGCTTTTACTGAGGACCAGGCTTGGTTCCCAGCATCCACATGGCAGTTCACAACCATGTTACCCCAGTTCCAGGGTACCTGGTACCTTCTTGTGGCCTCCCCAGGTACCAGGCACACACATACATGCGGGTACATACTCATACATAGACAGTAAAAATATAAAAAATATTTTAAAAGTAAAACTTGTGCAAGTCAAATAAAGACCACTTAAAGCAGATAACTGAGTATCTGGTATATATTATAGCGAAACAAAAGCAAAAAGCAATCACTTGGTTTTTTGCAATACTCAAAAGACAAAGCATGATTTGATTCCTAGGCAAGTGCTGAAGGGTGACTCCATGTTCATGGAATAAGATATCTAAGCATTGGTTTCTCCAGCTATGTCATCAGGATCAGAAAGCAGGCCTTTCCCTCCTGTGTCCCCATTTCCGTTAGGTGTAGACACCCCCACCCCAAATCTATAAATCCTGACGTGCCGTGGTACTTCTCATCGTCCAGTGCTGAGGGAGAGGACAGCAAGGATCCAGAGGAAAGAATTATGAACGATTAAAAAAAAAGTGACAGAATCTCAGAAAAAGGTGAGCTGGAAGTTTTCATCTTCAATCAAGACATAAAGGCAATGAAATTACTCTGAATCTTCTAGAAGATCGGCTTGCGTGCTTTCTCTCTCCCGCTCTGTGTCTCTCTCTCTCCTTTTTGGGGAGGGTTCTAAAACATTGGTGATTTTTGTGTCTGAAGATCTAGGAGGACATTAACTCAAAGTTCCACAAAACAGAGCTGTTTAAATTATTTCTTCCACCGAGGGAAAGAATGGGTCCCTGACCTTCAGGCCTTGGTTTTGATCATTGGAGGTGCTTGACTGAAGGGCTACTACTTTCGTCCTGTTTGTAGGCCAGGAGGCCACCTCTCAGGAAAGGGTTAGCATCTTGGATTTTCCAAGAGGCTCCATGAGCTAAACTTGGGCTTACCTCCTTTGGGTCATGCAGGCCAATCCACACAGGCAGGTTTCTTTGATAGCCAAATATGAACCTTGCTATGACTTGGCCTTCCTTTTTATTCAAGACAGATGCCAGATGGGATCCATGTCCGTATGACTGACACTTCAGCTGCAAGGAGAGGTCCCATTATTGATGCCATGAGTATACAGCTCTCTCCTTGAAGCAGGATGGCTTGTCTGCCCCCCCCCAACAGGGATCTAAACCCCACAGATGATTTCTGTCACTCTAGGAGAAGACAGAAGGCCACAGTGTCAGGTCTCAGGAGGCAAAAGCTCAAGGCCAGGGCAGGAGATTTAGGGCCAGAGGAAGTAGACGGAGTCCCAGGGACCTTCACGAGTCACTTCACCTCTCTGAGGCACAATTTCCTTATAATTACAGAATCTGGGGTTGTCTCACTCCCTCCTCTCCCCAGCCTCTCGCTCACTCCATCTTTCTTCTCGCTCTCTGTCTGACCCCAGTTATTCAGGTCTCCATTCAATAAGACATTTCATTCCCTGAATTTTCTTTGCTACTTCTCTTGGTCTAATCAAAAGGAAATCACTTTTGCTTACACTGAAATGAAATTTTCTGTTTAGCTGTTACCACCACACAATTCTTCCACATGTCACTTGTTTGTTGAGGGCAAGTATCCCCACGTAGCCAAGGCTGGCCTCAAACTAATCATAACCTCCTATCTCAGCTCCCAAGAGAGAGGGTTGCAGGAATATTCCACCATGCCCCATTCTCACAGTTTTGGAAGTCAGGAAACACAGCCTGATATTCATTAGGTATCACATGGTGAGTACGCCACCCTCGTTCCTTCCCTTTCTTTGTGAGTAACACACAGGACACTTGAGACCACTCTAGGCTTGGATCATGCCACATTGCATCTCTATGTGCTAATCTGTCACAAGCTGGAGAGACAACATCAATTCTCCACTTACTTGGACTGGCTATTTAGATATTTGAAAATGTCCTACACATAGCTGGAAAGAATAAAATCCAGGCATGTACATGTTGTGTCAAGCGAGGACACCTCCCATTTCTATTTCTTGGCTTTTTGCCTAGTGTTCCTGAGACCTGTTTCAAGCATTTCCACGACACGCTCTCTGGTAAGTCTCACAGGGGAATTCAGTTATTCTTTGTACAAGTCCCTCAACTCTTCATGCTCCTTTGATATGTGTATTTCTGGCTTTCTGAGGGCCATGGCTACTTCCTACTCCATGCAGCCCACTGAGGATCTGAACACACAGCATCTACATCATCAATGTTCACAAAATTGAAGGAGTCGAGCACATCCCCCCCTCCATTTTAACTACAAGGCTTCTCCTTGGGTCCCAGGAAGAACCTTGACTTTAAATCAAATATGATCTGCAGTTCTAGCTGACCCCTTTCTCCAAAATGAAACTAACAGCTCCAACTTCTCACCTCAGCCTGAGACCAGCTTCTCAGCTTCCGGAAGTATCCATAGCAGTGGGACTTGTAGAGAAACCATCCTGGACGACAGCTAGGTCTCAAGACAGCTGTACAGAAACAAAAGGCAGGTACAGATTGTGATGTCAAAAAACTCGGTGTAATGGTAAGATACGTCATACTTGTTCTTAATTTAGAATACCTTAAATCAAGGGAAGAGTCCATTTTAGAAGGACCTTGCTGCACTACTAAAAATATCTATATTGTGTGGGGCTAGGGATCTAGGTAAATTGGTGGAATGCCTGCCTTGCATACACAAATCCCTGAGTTTGATTCCCAGCACTGCGTACGCCAGGTGTGGTGTGCATGTCTGCAATCCTAACACTCAGGTGATGAAGTAGAAGAAGAATCAGGAATGCAAAGCCATCCTTGGCTATATAGTGAGTTTGAGGATAGCCAGGGTTATATGAGACTCATCTCAAAACACACACACACACACAGAGAGAGAGAGAGAGAGAGAGAGAGAGAGAGAGAGAGAGAGAGAGAGAGAGAGAGCAGACAGAGACAGAAAAACAGAAAGAGAGAACAAACAAAATTAAACCCCAAATTTTTATTATTACTCTTCTCCCAGCCTTTATCAAAGGACCTTTTACCAGGGGACTATTTACTGGGACGGGGGAATCAAGCTTTCTGGGAGTACTGAGCACACACTCTGAACCAACAGTAATTCCAAGAAACCCAAATATGACTGTGGCCCAGCTGTCAGAGAAGGAATGAAGGAGCTCGTGGAGCCATTGGAGTTTTGGGTCACAATGTGTGTTCTGAAGGGTCAATGCCACTCATTCCCCTAGATCTGGGTGCGTAACTGCAGTAGACAAATTCCAGCAACCGGCAGAATGACACAGCAGGGCTTCGTGGAGTGGACAGACATAGACTGGGAGTTGGGGGCATTGTTAGGAGAAAGAGCCTTTTTGGAAGAGAGTGGGATACACGGCAACCGGGCTGAAATGTGATCACGGGTGGGCTGTGCATGAACAGCGAGGAGAGGGGACTATTAATATTTCAGAGGAATGGGCTGGGCAGGGGCATGAAGGCAGGACTGTGCCTGGTGTGTGCAGAAATAGTAAGCCCCTAAGTTTGTCTCGAGTACAGGGGATCTGTAAGACAACATGGCCAACAGGAACGGGAGAGGCCTGCGGCAAAGGAGGCTGTGACTCAGGGAGGCTCGAGCTTTTCCTACTGGCCAGCTGGCAAGTGCCTCTGTGCGGGAGCTGGAAACTGAGAAAGCAGAGGCGAGTGGAACAGCAGAGGGACTGGTGACCCAGGGGATGCCAGGCTAGCAGCCTGAGCCCTGGGACAATGTGGCTGCACACCTGCACTCCAGCCCAGTGCTAAGGTCTCTCCCGGGTCAGATGGTTGTATGTCACTTATTTACTTCACTCTTTGTACTGTTTCATCTACTGCCTCTAACTCTCCAGAGCCTCCACACTGATTTCAGATAAGCTCCCTGCTCCTTAGTGGTCCCTCTCCCTCCCTCCCTCCCTCTCTTCCTCTTCCTCTGCACCCCCCTCCCCTGCCACCACCCTGTATCCCAGACTGGCCTTGTACTCACTATGTAGCGAAGGATGACTGAGCTTCTGATTCTCCTGCCTCTGAGATCACAGGCATGCATGCCATCATTCTCGGTTTTACAAAGCAGTGGGGGATCAAACCCAGGGTTTCATGCATGTTAGATGCACCCTCTACCAACTAGGCCATGCTGCTAGCCCTTACGCCTTTCTCAGCTCAATCTCCTTGCCCCGTCTAGCTGCATCCTCCCAGGCACCAGTCCCAGCTGATTTGGAACACAGTGCTTCTTACAGATCTACATCTATTGCATGTATGATTGAATCTGTGAATGATGGATAATCACTAACCGAGCTAAGAAATGGAAGGGAAGCATATTAATTATTTTTCTTATTGTTGTGAAAAAAAGCAACTGGAGGAGGAAAGGGTTTGCTCTGGCTTGTAGTTTGAGGGGATACGGTCCTTCAAAGCAGGAAAGGCCAGGCATCAGGAACACGACGTAGTGGTTATGCTACATCTCCAAGCAGGAACCAGAGTGAGGTGGACACTGGTACTCAGCTCATTTTCTTTTTTTGTATTCAGCCCAGGACCCCAGCTCACAGGATGGTGCTGTCCACGTTTAGGCTAAATCTCCCTTCTGAAGTTAACCCTCTCTGGATAAACCCAAAGGTGTGTCTCCTAGGTGACTCCAAGTTTAGTTGACAATGTAGGATAACTGTCACAAAAAGGCTCTGAGGGTGACCTGAAATAGACTGATACCAAGCAGCAAAGATCCTCATTTATTTCTACTGTTAGAAGAAGAAACACACTTTTACATTAAGTAAAAGGAAATCGTTTATTCCACTGCGACCCTGGCTGCAGCCACCATTGCCAACCTGGCCCGTGCTGGGCATCAAGCTAAGCAGTTTACTCGGGCTTTATTTTTATCAAAATAATTCAGGAAGATGAAACAGGATGAAATGGTTACCTGGCAAAAAGCCTCACACCAGAAAATAGAAAAGCTACATTTTGGATTCAGTTTTACGATCTAAAAAACCCATGTTTCTACCAGGAACCCTTCTGACCTTTGATTTATGAATATGCAAAAATGAGAAATTAGAAACTTAGTAACAAATGATTACAGAGTTAAAAAGCAAAGGAAATCTTAATTTTTGAATCTGACACTAAATATTTTTCTTTTCCTTTAAAAAAAAAAAAAAAAGTTATTGAAAGAGTGTCTTGCTATGTAGCCCAGGCTGGATTCCAACAGATGTTCCCGATTCAACCTTCTGAGTGCTAAGAGTATAGGAAGGCGCTAAAGCCTGAGGAACCAAAGCTTTGTTGTTGTTTTCTTTTAGATCATAGAAATTGAATTGTGAGCTGGAGAGATGGCTCAGAGGTTAAGAGCACTGCTTGTTCTTCCAAAGGTCCTGAGTTCATTTCCCAGCAACCACATGGTGGCTCACAACCATCTGTAATGGGATCTGGTGCCCTCTTCTGGCCTGCAGGGATATGTGCAGACAGAACACTGTATACATAATAAATAAATAAATCTTAAAAAAAGAAATTGAATTGTGAACACGATGACTTTGGAAACCAAAGCTTTTTAAGGAGCTTTGTGCTTTGTGTTGGCTAGTTTTATGTCAACTTGACACAAGCTAGAGTCATCAGAGAGGAAGGAGGGAGTCTCAGTTGAGAAACTGCCTCCATAAGATTAGGCTGCAGGCAAATATTTTCTTTCTTTCTTTCTTTCTTTTTTTTTTTTTGTTTGTTTGTTTTTCGAGATAGGGTTTCTCTGTAGCTTTGGAGTCTGTCCTGGACTAGCTCTGTAGACCAGGCTGGCCTCGAACTCACAGAGCTCCAGCTGGCTCTGCCTCCCGAGTGCTGGGATTAAAGGCATGCGCCACCACTGCCCGGCTTGCAAACGTTTTCTTAATTAGTGATTGATGTGAGAGGGTACAGCCCATTATGGGTGGTGCCATCCCTAGGCTGACGGTCCTGGGTTCTGTTAGAAAGCAGGCTGAGAAAGTCATGTGGAGCAAGCCAGTAAGCAACACCCTTCCATGGCCTCTACATCAGCTCCCGCCTCCAGGTTCCTGCCCTGCTTGAGTTCCTGCCCTGACTTCCTTCAGTGATGGACCACGAGGTGAAAGTGTAAGCCAAATAGACCCTTTCCTCCCCATCTTGCCTTTTGGTCATGGTGTCTTGTCACAGCAATAGTTAACCCCAACCAGGGCAAGGCTGATCATCGGTTACTGTCCTGAAAGGATCGTCAACATTGGGAAGGGGTATAGTTTCCAAACTAATGAAATCTCCCCATAGACTCCTGTGTCTGAGCGCTTGCTCCAGCTGGTGGCGCTGTTTTAAAAGGCTGCAGAACTTTTAGGAGGTGGAGCTTCACTGGAGGAAGTGGATCCCTAGGGGCGGGCCTTGGGTGGCCCAGCCCCACTACTTGTCAACTCTCTTCTTCCTGGCCATCTGACCACTTCGCCCTCCTGCCACCACACCTTCCCCATGGCGGTGGACGGTATCTTTCAAACTGTACGCCCAAAGAAACGCTTCCTTCCCCCGAGCTGCAATGAGAAATGTAACTCATACAGGAGGCGTACCTCTTAACCTAATGCTGCTGAGAATGTTCAGGAAGAGAGGCAGCAGAAGCCAAAAATCTCCAACCCTAAGTGTGAGGACCTGGGGGCTGGATACACCACTGGACACACCACTGGATAATCGTGTAAAGGCACCTGCCACTGAGTGTGAGTACCAGAGCCCCGAAGACACTGCTCCCGCACAATTCACTTGGTTCTCTCCTGTGACCTGTAGCGAATCGGCTTGGTATTCTGTGGGCAAACACACGGGCAAGAGTCTCTTCCACCACGGCATTCTCTCCCCCTGACTTGAGGTCACAAGAACAGCCATCTTGGGGCACAAGCAGAGGATCCAGTGGGGTCAGAGTGTAGAGACCTAAGATCTGGATGCCTCCAGCCAGGCAGTCCACACTGCCTCTCCCACCAGGTTCTCTGCTCCTCCGTGCCTGCGACTGCGTCGATCTCTCTGTCTTTTCGATTCCTCTCTCTCTCTTGCTTCTCCCCGTGCCTTTGCCTGCCACTCTAGGCCCCTCTGCCTCGCATTCTCTCCTCCCCTCCCCTCTGCCCCTCCTCGTCCGTTCTCACCGTAGCCCAGCCTTCTCGCAGTTACCGACATGCGCCCCCTGGTGGCAACATCTCAGCCGCTGGAAATGCTTCTGAGGTCCTGAGTTGCAATGCTTTCTACCATGCCACACATTTACCGCGCACTCCTTGGTACCAGGTCCTGCTCTGGGCAGTTTTACTAATACTCTAGAAACCCCCCCCCTCATTAAGTAGTTCCTGATATTACCACCACGTCCCAGACGTGGAAAAAAAAAAAAGGTAGAAAGAAGTTGTTGCGCCTCACACTCCCACGGCAAACAAGAAAGAGCTAAGATGTGACCTAGAGAGTGGGGCTCGGAGTTGAGGCTCTTAGCCATGCTCAAGCTACACTGAAAACAAACAAACAAACAAATAAATAAAAGCACCACAAGCCACTCACATTTACTCATATTTAACAGTCGAACTCTCCCGGAGAGATGGGTATGGTCATTGGAGAGAAGAGAATGGTTACTACCCAGGAGTGTAGTGGGACCTGGGGCAAGGCACTGTTGTCTCAGCAGCCCAGAACCTTTCACATCGCTACCCAAAGTGCCAGCATTCCTCATTGCTGCGCATGGGGTGACAAGAAGGGACAGGTCCTAGCATCCAGCCTCCACGGCTCTCTAGTGGTCTCTCCCAATCTCTTATAACTCTGGTTCCGTGTCTGCACAATGAACTAGCAGCACATACTTTCCCACAGGGTTGCTTGGAGGGTTGGTGGGATAATGCATACATAATGCACACACAGTGGTGAGCACGCTGCCTAGCACATAGCAATTGTTGAATGGACTAGTTTTCTTGTATGATTGGGGATTCGTATGCGGAGCTAAACCCTAACTCATGCCTTTTTTCTTTTTTAAACCCAAGACAGGGTCTGTTTAAGCTTCCAAGACTGGCCTTGAACTCTGTGTTGGAAGCAGGTCAGGGCTCTGAGATCATTCTGCACCATTCTCGTGAGTGGCCAGGAGTCCAGGCATACATCATCAGACTCAGGTAGAATTACAACTTTTAAAAACCATTGCCATTATTACGATAACGAGGTGGAATATTACTGAAAACACTAACCAGATGTAGTTCCCATTGTCTCTAAATGTTTCCCTGTTTCTCCTCATTGAGTCACAGGCAGCCACAGCCTGGGCAAGAAACCACTGAGGGGACAACAGAGTTATGATCTTGGCCATCAGCCTCTGTTGTAAGAGAAAATCAATTTCTAAGTTCTCCGAATCTCCTCTAAATGCAGGATTAGACTTTTTCCATAAGCTGTTGTGTAAAGAATATGTGGGATCTGTCTTAAGAACGGTTCTCAGGAATGTAACAATCAACAGAAAGTTTTTCTACAGCTGGGAAGAAGATCTGTCTGGAAAAGAGCCTTGGAAGGACCCATGGTATATGTTTTGGCTCTGTCTACTCCTGGGGAGAGAACCAAAGAGATTAGTGAAGTCCTGGGAAACAGTTGAAGAGTCTTATCTTATTCTTCAGAACATAGTCAGGGTAAATGCCAAGCCCTTAAGGGAAACCAGAGGTCAGGGCTGCCCCAAAGCTGCATATAGGAACAGCTGGAAGGCAGCTCAGCAGGGTCTGGGGACAGCTCCTGGCATTCTGTACATTCTTGCAGGGTGCAGAAATGGTGCATTTCTCTGGAGATTCATGGGTCCTGAGCAACCATAAATGGTGAGAGAACTGGTAGCTAGAGGCAGATGAGGGGTTGGGGGGCAGTGAGTACCATACAAAGCCATGTCAAGAGTAGGCTATGGCCAGGACCACAGCCTTCAATGGATGACCCCAAAAGCACTATTTCTCCTGACTCCTCACCTTGGCCAAACCCATTCAAGAAGTTTTAGGCCTCAGTGGATCTTTTAGTGGCCTCTTTTTTCAACAGAGGTGCTGCTCAACCAAGCAGTTCTTACACTGCCACCTCCACCTCCCAGCGAGGCTACGAAGGACTGTGGGAGCTGTCCAAGACTCGGAGTTGGCCAGAGCACCTCATAGTCTGGCGGTGTGACGTTTGGCAAATCTGTCTTTCTCTGCGCTCATTTTCCTCATTGATTCAGCAGAACGGTCACGTCAGAGGAACCCACATCTCATCCCCTTCCAGTCCTAATGTTCCACGGTGTATTTTTTTCTCAGCATCCTTAAACTTTCCTTGTCCTGTTTCCTCTATAGATCTGTAGATCCTATACTGTCACTGGCACGCTCCCTGTCCTTGATGATTATCCTATGAGTGTGCAATGGCCATCTCTGCAACCAGGTTTGCAGGTCCCCAGTAAACTGGACCTTGTAATATGCTCAACTAAGAGAACAGTGCATAAATGTTTGGACATTGTGATTATGGGTCTCAGCTCTAGACAGTCTGATGCCTGTCAGGCTCTTTAAACAGTCTCTCCATCACTCACAACAAACTTGCAAAATGTATTCCACAATCCACAATTTTAAGTATGGCTTACAACCGTCTTGGGGTGGCTTTATTTCACCGTAGAGCCTTTGACAAGTCACGTGATTGTTCCTTCTTTGGTATTTCCTTCCTGAAATGCCTGAGGGGGTGAGTGGGTGGTGTGATGTGTGCACTCTGTGTTTGCTGGCTGTGGCTGCCTTCCCATAAGTAACTGAACTCACCACTCAGGACTTCAGGTCCAGTTACACAGCTCATCAGTAGGAACAGCCAAACACATTTGGGACCCATCTTTGGCTTTCCCTGGAGATGATACTTCGATGCTTTAATTCCAAGGCTCTCAGCTCTTTCCAGTTTGCCCTTAAAGTCTCTGGTATCTCTTAGATCTGCAATTTGGACCAGAGAGAAGGATGCTGGAATTTAGATATCACAAATCTAAAGTAGATTTCCAAGTAGATGCAACTTTTACAATGAAGATAATCTCAAGGTTAACATAGGGATGTTGAGCATTTAATTTATGAGGTTTTATTCTTACCTTCAAGCCCTCCCTGAACCAATGTCAGAGCCCTAACTTCAGCAGGCAGAAGTGCTTAGCAGTCTGAGTAGTTTGGGAACCACAAAGATTTTCTGTTATCTCCAGGAGAGTCAGCAGAGGGCGACCTGGGCACATTTCCTCCCAGGTGATAGATAATAGGCCTTCTGAAGTCCCAGAAATGTAACACAGTGGTTCCAATACTGAGATTTCTTTTAATGTTGAAGGTAAAGTAAACAGATGGCCCAAATACAGTTACAGATAAGAAGACTGGGGTTTTCAAGGACTGGGTCATTTGCTCTGTGTCACCACCGGCTGTAACTAGATCTGACTCTAACCCTGTTGATATCACTTTAAATAAAAAAAAGCTTTGCTAGTCTCCCCTTTCATTGTCAAAAACCCACAAATCATTAAAATATCAACATAGACCAAGAACTAGGAAGTGGGCCCATGTCCCAGAGATAAGCAGTTAAGTGAAGAGCGTACAGACACCTTCCTAGGCCCCGAGTATAGTTTTACGTCAATTAAAGTCAATTAAATCACACTGCCTTGTAACCCGGCTGTTCCTCAGACACAGACCAGCCACAGAGGACGTTCTTGCAGTCACGTTTTTTGTTCATTTTCTTTTCTCTGTTTGGTATGAACTCACTCATTCTGCCCAGTCCGTCGTCATTTTGAGCCCCGGGCTTCTGAAAGGCTCGCCTACCCATCCTAGTGATAGAACTCAAGACTGTTGCCCTCTCATCTCATGAAAATAATTTTGTCAAAAAATATTGTGTACTAAGTTTGGTATTTCAAAAGAAATATTTGCTCGTCCCTAAAGGCTGATGATGAAGTGGAGCATCTTTTTATATATGATTTTTAAAATTTCTTATGTGAATTATCAGTTTATAACTTTGAACATTTATATATATATTTTACCATTCTGAAGGACTTCAACTGTAGGGGCCAAGATGACACCTCCAAACTCCACTTGTTTTTGCTTCCTCACTGGAATCCCGACCCCTCTGCCTAGCACATTCAAGAAAAGCGCTGAGCTATGGGCCTCACCGGATCTTTCAGTGGCCTCTTGACAGGAATGATGTTCAAGATTTGGAAACGCCTTTGTCGTGTGCACGGTCGTCTCCTTTATAATCTTTGGAATGTCTGCAAGAAGCAGTAACCACCGCTGTGGCATGAGGTTAAGACAGGCATCCACATGCCTTTTAATTCTTACTTAAGCTTTATGGCAATTCTAAGCCCTAGTAGCTTTTCGGAAATAACATGAAAATGAAGAATTCATTGAATTCTTATTTAACCATGCTTTCTGATCAGAACACAAACAATAAAATCTCAAATAATCTATGGCTCAGGAGGGCTGATGCAATAGGATATCTACATTGGAGACTTCTGGAAACTCTAATTTGCAGCCCCCATGAGCACTTGGGTCTGGCAGTAACAGAGGGGGCATCCCTTCTGTTCTATTTGCTTTTATATTTTAAAATTATCGCACAAACCCTGCACTTCTTTGCTGAACGTTCCTTTCAAAAAGAATTTCAAAGTCCTGAAACCCTTTGAAATGCAAATGGCTGGCGCTCAACTGTCAGACTGACTGGCTGGAGGAATGGAGGCCAGCATTTCTTTCCTTACTCTAAATGGATTTGAGACGTCTGGTGAGGCCCTATCATCTCATTTGACTCTCCATAACTACACTGCACGGCAAGTGTCAGTAACGTGTTTTGTTGATAAACTGACACTCACTGTATTCTGTAACTTTCCCTAAGTTTCGCGGCTACCAGTCCACAGAGCCGCCACGGAACCCAACAGGGCTGGCTGCCGAAGCCAACTCTCTTTCAGTAAGAGCAGAGAGAAAACATCTCTCAGGGCTCAGGCGAGGGCTCGCTTGCTGTGCAAGCCTGTCGACCTGAGTTCCATCCCTGAGACCCATGTAGAGATGGAAGGAGAGAACTTCCGCAGAGATGTTCCCTAACATCCGCCTGCCACGCACACACGCATCCGCTCATGCCACGCACGCATGCGCAAACACCCACACAGCAATTCATGTTTTCGATGATGATATTAAAAATAAACAATTTAAATCGAACGTCACGATAACAAAGACCCCAGCCGAAGCAACAGAGCTGTGACTTGTAATTTCTGACCCACTGGGTAAGCTGGCAGAGAATAACAGGTGTTCACAGAAAGCCCTCTGTCCCCGCAGCAGGGAGGATTACCTGGTTGGAACCAACACTCTGAGAACTCTGCCTTCTTCAGCCTGAGTGGTCCCAGGCTCCTGCGGCTTTATACCTTCTTGCCTCGGGATGTAATGACCTGTTGAAGTCATGAGTTGTTTACCAAATAATCACCCTTATCTACAGTCAAAAAATGAGCTGGTCGAGTGATAGCTTTAGAATGGACACAGAGTGAGCTTTGTCTAGCCAAGAGCAGAACCTCTCCCTGTGTGCAAACAAAATCTTTTATGTCCACGTTATTAAAATTAACAGTATCCTGTAGTCCGAGAACAGACAGCCCTTTCCCTCTCCCATTTCTTCACTTAGCTGTGCTCGGTTTTGTAGTGTTCCTTTCCTTTCTGTCTCTTCGTGTTGTAGGTGACCTTTATCTACCTTCCTTTCTTTTCTGGAAAGATGTTCTGCTCTGAAGAGTTAGATTTCTATCCTTGCAGAAAAGATTTGACTTTAGGTTCTGACTGAAGACCACATAGGCGCTTCTCCCCAAGTGCCTGTTTCCACCTCCCAGAATGCATCACTGTCCCCCCCCACTCCTCACCCCCCCACTCCTCACCCCCCCACCCCCCAGCCCCCCACCCCCATTTGCCTTTCTCCTGTGGAACGGAAGGCACTGAAATCTTGTTTTAAAGGACACAAATTATGGAAAATAGCTTACACTGATAGAATATTTTATAGCAAATTCCTTCTTTTTTTTTTTTTTTTGGTTTTTCGAGACAGGGTTTCTCTGTGTAGCTTTGCTCCTTTCCTGGAACTCACTTGGTAGCCCAGGCTGGCCTCGAACTCACAGAGATCCGCCGGCCTCTGCCTCCCGAGTGCTGGGATTAAAGGCGTGCGCCACCACCGCCCGGCTGCAAATTCCTTCTTATATCACCAAATGTCCTTATGGGCAGCTAGGACAGGCTTCTCCCATGCACAGTTAAGAAGCCCAGTTGTAGGGACCCAGAGAGCTGGCTCAGTGGTTAAGAGCACTTGCTGTTTTCCCAGAGGCCTGGAACAGTTCTTTGCACTCATGTGAGGCAGCTCACGACCATCTGAAACTACAGTGCTGAAGGATCTGAGGCCTCTGGTCTCCGCAGGCACCTGCACTCATGTGCACACACCCACATGCAGACACACATACCTACACATAATTAAAAACAATAAAAATAAACCTTAGGGAAAAAAATAAAAGAAACCTAATACTAAGAGAGCAGTGACCTGCCAGGTTCTCAAGGCTTATCTGTGGTGTGCGGAGAACTCTGGCTTCCTTACTCCAATCTAGATTTCTTTGCTGAATTCACAATTGTTTTAGAAAAAAAAAATGAGCTGTGTAGAAATGACATCAAGTTTGCTTTTTCTGTGAAGAGGGTAAGGGATCAATTTGTGTTGTGGGTGCCAGAGATTGCACATCTCAAATTACAGAGTCAGCTCTGTAAAGGCCCTTGGGTCTGAAAAGGGCCACAGTGATGCTCAACTCTTACTCCAGAGAAGGGCTGTGGCTAGTGTAGTTGACTGGTAGTCATAGGGAAGTATCAGGGCTCTCTGCTCCAAGCCTAGGTTGCTTTCTAGATGCTGCTCTGCCTCTCATTGGGTTTTCCCCGCCTGTGTGTAAATCTACCAAGGTTTCCCCAGCTTAGCTCCTCCAGTGACTGGTCCCCTCTGATGGTACTCAAGGGGAAGGGCATCAGGTCTGGCTGATTTGGGTTTGAGTTCTATTCCCCTCTCACTATAAAGCACTGGTCATTAGCCAGGCGGTGGTGGCGCACACCTTTAATCCCAGCACTCGGGAGGCAGAGCCAGGTACAGCTCTGTGAGTTTGAGGCCAGCCTGGTTTACAGATCAAGTTCCACGACAGCCAGGACTTCACAGAGAAACCTGTCTTGAAAGAAATTCAAAATAAATAAATAATAAAGCGCTGGTCATGTGTTGAACCTCTTGGAGCCATGCTCTCCTAATCCCAATATGAAGGGGTTATTACCGGGTGTGCTTACCTGTTTAATACACAATGCTTTTCCCCTTTAGAAAGCTGGATAGGAAAGGCGCCGCTACACTGTACAATAGGGAGCACAGATGCCAACTCCCAGCCTTTTAAGTCCCAAAGGCCCGATACAGAAGGAACACATTACAAAAGAGGATGTAGGTCTTCTCCACCCCAGACTCTACCTGGACTCCTGCTCTGATGGGTATGCCACTGTTTTTAAGACTTCCGATGACAAAAGGAAGATCAGAACATGTGAGTTACTATGTCTGGACTGTGAGAGGCCTCTTACCGGAACCTCCGTTGGTCAGCACCAATCGAAGGCACCAATAGAATGCACACACAACTGTGAGACATAAGAGCAAAAGGGAACTTCGTCTGACATGGAGGCTAACACACACTCAATCCCGGAACTCAGAGGCTGAGGCAGGACCGTGAATTTGCAGATAGGCTGGGCTCCATAATGAGTCCTAGGTCAACCTGAGCTGCATGGCAGTGGGATGAGGGATGAAGTTCAACGATAGAGTGCTTGTTTAGCATGTACCAAGGCCTGGATTTGATCCCCAGAAACAAACAAAAAAAGAAGTGGTGTCATGGACTTGTGAGCCCTACACTCAGGAGATTGAGGCAGAAGAGTCAGAAGCTCAG